GCCACAAGCTCTGTTACACATGGAGCAGAAGGTGGTCTTAAGGAAGGGGTGGGTGGAGCATTAACGTAGCATCACACTCCTTTCACTGTTTTCGCCTGGCTTCCACTTTTTCCCAATGGCAAGTCTCGAAACGCTCCTCCTCCACTTTGGATGTTCTTGGGCCAGTGATTCCCAGGTGTCTGTGGGAACGCCCCACTTCGCCAGTGAGGCCTTGAGGATATCACAGAGTCGTTTCTTCTGTCCACCGGAGCTCGCCTGCCATTTCGGAGCTGGGAGTACAGCACCCACATGGGGTGTCTCATGTCAATCATGGAGACGACGTGCCCAGCCCATCGTAGCTGATCAACCGCATTAGCATATGACAGATGGAGAAACAACATTAATAATCAGAATCAAGGAAAACCATTTTCAAATATTTGTTTGGCAATATAGAATTTGCAAACTGCTGAGAAAAGGAGACAAACTGGTGAAGGTTTACATCTCGCAATGATCAGGACAGAATCACAAGATTACAAAATCTTAAATCGATCAACAATTTACACAGTATGAGAGTGCAAATATAGTGCCAAGTGGATTGTGATTTGTGGAGTCATTGCCTTGGAAAATGCATGAGGAATAGTTAACTGCCAAGCTTTAATTTAATTGGTCAAAGCATTGCTATGGGAATGCAACAGGAATGTCTGGTCCCCACTTTCTGTCCAGTTGAAATAGGTGCAATACACAGACACATTTCCTTCTGCTTGCCAAGGCCGGACACTGCATGTGAATCTATGTGATTTCTAACACATACAGGCATACTGTGAGCCTGACACATAACCTTTAATTGGTTCTTGTTGTAATTCTTAGCAAGTGTTATCCAATTGCAGAAAAACATCTAATATTGACACTATGTTTAGACTTTTGAAGCATGGGCTAGATGGGCATGGTCAGTATTCTGCCAGGTGTGAACATGCTGTTTAATACGATCCATCAAGTCATTGGGACATCATTACATACTTGGTATCTCATTGACACTGAAATTCATATACTACATAACTCATTTGGATAAAAATAAAATGTCTTTTTACCTTGAGGAGTAACATCGTGAATACCACTTGTTGCTGCTGCATTGTTATTTCAGTGTTTATCTTTAAATCCCTCAAAATTATGTTGAAATCAAAACATGCAAGGGCTGAAATTGGGATGCAAGATGTTTGTGACAAAAAGTATGTGGGACAATTCTTTGATGAAGAGGTTACTGGCACCTAATGACTGTTTGCAATGTACATTACTCTATTGAAACAGCTGAACCCAATGGAAAACATTTCTTCATTAACTGGTCTTTCTCTCGGATCCATATTGTCAGTTGTATGATGTTTATTTGCGTCAAGAGCCTGTAGGTTGTGTTATGGATACTTTAATGGTCCAGCTGATTGACACTTTTCTAAAGTGATAAAGGAATTAATATAAGAAAATTATGAATGATTGACTTTTTTAAAGCTTTTTCATACATGCCTTTGTTGCTATAGATATCATTAACGTACGACAGAGTGTATAATGTGTCATGGATGGGACAGGAGTTGAGGAGGGAGTGCTTGAGGACCTAATATTAAATAAAATTAATGGAACGAAGTCTCTTAACAAGTCCAGTTTGGCACTCAGCAGCCCCTGTGTCTGCTTCTGCACTGTTTCCAGGTGTTAATGATTCAACTCCATTTATCATGTATACACACATGCACACATACACACACGCATGCACGCACACTCGCACACACACAGTGAAAATTGTGCTCCCTGAGGCAGCGTGCAAGTTGGCAAATTTCATGACTTCATTACCCATTTCTAGTATGAAAATCCAGTCCCACACACTCTACCAATCTATCCAACATATCTCCTTTAAAAGAAACATCAGGTTTTCAATGAAAGATAACGAATAGAATAAGTATAAACAAATCTGCGACAAGTATTTTACCATAGAATCATAGTACCGTGCAGAAAGAGGCCATTGGCCCATCAAGTCTGCACCTACCCTTCGAAGAGTATCCCACCCAAAACCAGCCCCCTACCCTACCTTATCAATGTAAATTTTTCTCTGTACCCAGATATTCTTGAATTTAATATTATTGCATACAGCTCTAAAAGTCAAGAATTGAAATAATTTGACCCCATTGAATTCTTTTAATAGTGTTGTCCAAATGTTATGTATGTAGAAGTAATGATCATATCTACAGCTGGTCTTCAGCACACCACAGGGATCCCAGATTAAAGTGAGGCAGCTGATATTAATTTGGAGGAAGGAGTTACAACATCAATCATTCCTGTCTCACTAATGGCTGCTCAAATTAGTGATCTATCTTACAAATCTCAGATATCGGTTTGAAGACAAAGTTCGAGCAGATAATAGTGTTGAAACCATTTAAAGCAGAAAAGTTGTGATACAATGTCTAGCATTAGTTAGGTTCCATTCTCAAAATTTTTTTTTAAAAAAGTAACTTTCATGATACACCACTTGGGATTCATCATGCACAAACAAAGCTTACATTTGTTAATCTTGAAATCAGTGCAAATTTGTTTCAGTTTTAATTTGTTCTAAGCTACAACACTAAGCACTCAATGTTACAACTAAATCTATTCATTGTAACTTACAATTTGTGGTGTTGAACATTTCAGCAAGTCACGTTGGTGTATCACGAGTGTTATATAGGTCAAACTTTGCAGTTCAACCCTTCAGACTGTAATCTATAAAATAGCAAAAAGTGAATGAATTGGTCATGTGCAATTCTTACTGCCATTAACAAGAACACAATGTTCAGAGCTTTGTATGTCCCAAAATGAAGTAGCACATGGTAATGTTTATTTCAGCTTCCAGCGCAGTGAAGCTTTTCTGAAATTTATTAGAGACACTCCTCTAAGAGTTAGAGAATAACTTATAATGGAAAGGAAAAGTATGGCAGTCAAAAGAAGTATTTCTGCTGCAAAAACAGAAATTACTGGAGAAACTCTGCAGGTCTGGCAGCATCTGTGGAAAGAAAGCAGAATTAACATTTTGGGTCCAGTGACACTTCTTCCGAACTCAAAGAATTCTGCTGCCTAGTCTGGACTAAGTATTCACAGACAAGGGATTTGGTTTTGCCAAATATTTCAGTTTGCACAATGCTAGGCAAAACATGGACAGCAATAATTAAAAAGAAATTAACAATTAATCAGTCCCCTTAGGCGTTGCACAATAACAGTCAAGAATAAACGCTTCTTCAAGCTAAACAGAGTAAGAAAGTGGAAAATAATTGGCCCAAGGCTGCTAAGGACTTGTCCAAATAGAAAGCTGGAGTATAAATGGCACTCCAGAGCAGAGTGTGGTGGAGCACATCAGAAAAAAGTGAAGAGCACGGTTAAAAAATAAAATATATCAAGAGGCTGGAAGGCGAGCCTTAGATCACCATTGAATGTTAAAGCTATCTAGGAGATAAGAAGCATTTGTTGTGTTGGTGTCAGTGGCACAAAAGTGATGCAAGGGCACAGGAACAGAAGGGTGGAATAATCAAAAAGAAAAGAGATGTACAAAAATTGAATTTAATGAAGAGGTATATTCATGAATTTGAAGCAATCTTAAAAGAACTGGAAAAGATTGCCCCAAAGAAAGAAAAGTAGGCATAAATCGGTAAATATGCTGAAAAGATTGTCAAAAATAGCTAAAGAAAACGTGTAGTTAATAAATTGATGGAGTTCTTACACGCCACCATTATTATTTAAGTAGAAGTTAATGCTTTACTGGAAAAATATTAAATACTAGTTTATTGGGGTTTGAATAGTAAGAAGGGCAACAAAACTGGCTTCTGTCTCTCTGATCATTGATAGCATTCGGGCTGCAGTATTATAATACTAGGAAGTAGATTGGTTAGTTAACACAGATTATTAAACAATCACACAGCTGACACAGCTACTTAACAAGCATTGATGGAAGTCAATGAAAATTCTCCTGTTAAACAGAAGGAAATAAGCACTTTACTGTTTTTATTTAAAGCAAAACAAGAGCTGGGGGTGGTGTATGGTGTGGGTTGAATTTATGGGTAATTCTAAGACCCTGTACAAAGTACTTACTTGACATGATCCCTTTCTTTTGAAAATGTGCCATCTTGATATTCCCACAGCCATTCACCCACTGTGGTGTCTTAAGCCAATGAACCCTATTGTGGCAATAACATGTATTAAAAATAGCCTTTAAACTATAATAATTCATCAATTTAACTTAAATTTGTGGAGAGACGTTAAATGTTGCAAAGTCAAAAACAGTAGAAAAATAAGGGTGCATTACTCATTTTTTTTAATCTTACCCCAAAGATAGTATTTGTTGCAGAATATATGCGGGAGTGGAGGCGGGGTTTTGGGGTAGATGGACACTTACTGAAAGAGCAAGTGTAATTAACTTTCTAGGGATTTGGCATTTGCAAAGCACTTTGCCAATCAACTGGCATTTGTCTCAGTTTGGTGAATTTCTGAGAAAAGCCAGCAGTAATGAAAACAATTATCACAGGTTTAGGGATGGTCATAAAAAATAGTAGTAATTACAGTGAATGTTGCACGTTTTGAGTTACCATAGAATCCACTGTCAGGGATCAGTAATGTATAGTCTTCGTCACTTTTGGAAAGCTACTCTTCATTAGAAAGTTGTTGTTAGCAGAGAGAAAGAGAGACAGACAGACAGAAAGAGAGAGTAAGAGAGACTTAGTAGCAGCTCCAGCAGTTAAGAAGCATCAGCAATTAAGGTTCAACTGGGAAATGAAAGTCACAGTATCAAATTCAGAGGGGATTTTTAAAATTTAATAGGGAGATGTGAGCATCACTGGCTGGGCCAGCATTTAATGCCCTGCCAAGATGTCCTTAAGAAGGTGGTGGTGAACTGGCTTTTCAGCCCTCTGCAGTCCATGTCGTGTATGTACACCCTCAATGCTGTTTGGGCAGTGTTCCAGGATTTTAACATCGTGACACTGAAGGATTGGCGATATATTTACAAGTCAGAATCGTATGAGGCTTGGAGGGGGACGTGCAGCTGGTGATCTTCCCAGGTACGTGCTGCCTGGTCCTTTTATATGGTAGTCGTTGTGGTTTGGAAGGTGCTGTCTGAGAAACCTTGGTAAATTTAATAAATGCATATATTAAAGCTAAGATAAGCTAATTAAGCTAAAATATCGAAAAATGTTATGAGTTCACCTCATTGAACATACTTATACCAGGAAAGGATTTTTTTTCTGTGAAAATGTCACTTTACAACAACAAAGTGAGTTCATTATGGTTAAGTAACTGGACTACCTAACAATATCAACAATATCAGCAACCAATTGTCACAATATCACTCCATTATGTTTAGAACATGAGATAAGCGTCTACCTTAGTAATAGGCCACTTACAGTGTGAATAGCCTGAGAAACAGGCTGCCCCATTTTGTTTACTCTTTGGGTGCTCTTATAGATTGAATCTAATTTGAACATTTCAAAGAAATATGACACTCAACACAATATATTCAGTAATTTGAATATTTGCATTACTCATAATTAGTTTTGCACAGAAAGTTAATTATCTACAGTTTAACACAATTGTAAAGTGGCCTGTGAAATGAACGTTATTATACTAAAATAAACTGTTCTCTTGCCATAATACCTTCTGTTCTATTAACACGATACAAAAAGGTTAGGATACATTTTATCAAAAATAACCAGTCCAACTGCAAAAAGAATAGAAATTGCTGGAGAAACTCAGCATGTCTGGCAGCATTAGTGGAGAGAAATCAAAGTGGCATATTAGCTGAAGATCAGGAGCGGAAGGAATGAGCAGATGAGTGGAGTTGGAGCTCAGAAAGGGAATGACAATTAGGCAGAAAAAGGGATGATAGTATGTGAAGGAGAAAGAAAAACAGATAATGGGAACTATAAGTAGGTGAAAATGGGTTAGCTGCGCTGAAAGCAGCCTATGTCATGTCAGGGCCTGAGGTGTGGCGTTGGATAAAGAACATAGAGGAAGATGTTCAAGTTCTAAGATCATTGATGAAAGGAGAAGTCAACGCTTCGGGAATTACCATTCTTCAGTCCTGAGGAAGGGTTATACCCGAAACGTTGACTTCTCCTTTCCTCCAGATGCTGCCTGGATTGCTGTGTTCTTCCAGCCTCCTGTTTGTCTACCTTGGATTCCAGCATCTGCAGTTTTTTTGTCTCTAAAATTATTGAACCTGACGTCTGCAATTCTTCTGACACTTTACATCAGTTTCAGAATTTTCAGTTCCAATATCCACCTCCTCTTCACCATGGACTTACAATCCCTTTACTCATCCATTCCCATCAGGATGGTCTCAGGGCTCTCCACTTCTTCCTGGAAAAAAGGCCTGAACCATTTGTATCTACCACCACCCTCTCTGCCTGGCCGAACTCATCCTCACGTTGAACAACTTCTCCTTTAACTCCTCCCACATTCTTCAGAACATAGGTGCGGCCATAGGTGTCTGCATAGGCCCTAGTTTTGCCTGTTTCTTTGTGGGGTACGTGAAACATTCCCTGTTCTATTCCTATCCAGGTCCCTCCCCACAGATCTTTCTCTGATACTTTGATGACATCATCAGTGCTGCTTCCCTCTCTCATCTGGAATTGGAAAAGTTTGTCAGTTTTTGCTTCCAGTTTCCACCCTGTTCTCACCTTCACCTGGTCCATCTCTGACTCCTCCTTTCCCTTCCTTGACATCTCTGTTTCCATTTCTGGGGATAGGCTAGCCATTGATATCCATTACAAATCCACTTACTCCCACAGTTACCTTGACTATACATTCTCGCTCCCTACTTTCTGAAAAGTTTCTATTCCATTCTCCCAGTGTCTCCATCTCTACTGCATTTGTTCCAAAGATGCCCCATCCCACGGGGTGCCTCAGAAATATTCACATTTTTCTTCAACCAAGGACTCCCTGCCACCGTGGTTGACAGGGCCTTTACGCTGTGACTGACCCATTTCCCACAATTCTGCCCTCACCCCTTCTCTTCTCTTACACTACACCAATAGGATCCTCCTTGTCCTCACTTTCCACCCCATCAGCATCCATATTCAAGGGATCATTAGCTGTTATTTTCATTACTTCCAGCTGGATGCCACCACTGGATACATATTTCCCTACCCTCCCACGTCAGCCTTCCATAACAACCGTTCCCTCTGGGACACCTTGGTCTACTCTTCCTCCACTCACAACACCTTCCCACACCTCCAAAGCACCTTCCCATACAATCACAGAAGGTGTAATGTCTGCCTGTTTACTTCCACCCTCCTCGCTCTCCAAGGCTATAGACACACCTTCCAGGTGAACCAGCGATTTACCTGCACTTTATTGAATCGACTATATTCACTGCTCACAATGTGATCTTCTCTACATTAGAGACACAAACACAGACTGGGTGACCTCTTTGCAAAGCTATGTCTGTCCACAAAAATGACCTTGAGCTTGCAGTTGCCATGTTTTAAAATTCTCTTGTAGCACATGGCCATCGCTGCCTGTCCCAGTTGCCTTTGCATTCATGAATCACTGCAGTCTGTGTTCTGTTGGTAGACCCACAATGCCATTAGGAAAGGAATTCCAGGATTTTGACCCAGCAACACTGAAAAACCAGCAATATATTTCCAACTCAGGATGGTGAGTCACTCGGTGAGGAACTTGCGAGTGATGGTATTTCCATTTATCTGCTGCCCTTGTCCTTCTAGATGGAAATGGTTGTCGGTTTGGAAGGTGCTGTATGAGGATCTTGGGCAAATGTCTGCAGTGCATCTTGTACATCATACAGAATGCTGCTACTGAGCATCAGTGGTAGAGGCAGTGGATGCTTGTGGATGTGGTTACAAAGCAGGTTGCTTCGTCCTGGATGATGTCAAACTTCCTGAGTGTTTTTGGAGCTACACTCATCTAATCAAGTGGGTAGTATTCCATCACAATCCTGATTTGTGCCTTGAAGATGGTGGACAAGCTTAGGGAAGTCAGGAGGTGAGTTACTTGCCAAAGTATTCCTAGGTACTGACCTACTGTTATAGTCACTGTATTTATGTGGCGAGTCCAATTGACTTTCTGGTCAATGGTAACCCCCAAGGATGTTGATAGTGGGGGATTCAGTGATGGTAACACCATTGAATGTCAAGGAACAGCAGCTAGGTTGTCTCTTATTGGAAATGGTCATAGCCTGGCATTTGTGTAGCACAAATTTTACTTGCCACTGATCAACTCAAAGCTGGATATTGTCCAGAACTTGTTGTACTTGAACAAGGGCTGCTTCAGTATCTGAGGAGTTGTGAATGATGCAGAACATCACGCAATCGTTGGCAAACATCCCCACTTCTGACCTTATGATTGACGGAAGGTCATTGATGAAGCAGCTGAAGATGGTTGGGCCTAGGACACTACACTGAGGAGCACCTGCAGAGATGTCCTAGAGCCGAGATAATTGACTTCCAACAGCCACAACTGGTTAGAGCATACCTGCCACATGGGAAGATGGTTGTGTTTGTTGGAGGTCAGTCATTTCAGCTCCAGGACATCTCTGCAGGTGTTCCTCGGGGTAGTGTCCTCGGCCCAATCATCTTCAGCTGCTTCATCAATGACCTTCCCTCCATCATTGGGTCAGAAGTGGGGATGTTTGCCAATGATTGCACAATGTTCAGTGTGCCTGCCACTTCAACTCACCAATGCAGTTCTATTTTAGGCCTGCTTCAGTGTTCCAGTGAACCTCAGCACAAGCTGGAAGAACAGCATCTCATTTTCTTGGGGACACTGCAGCTTTCAGGGCTCAATATCAAATACAATAATTTTAGAACCTAAACATCTTCTTCTATGTCCTTTACCCAGCTTCACACCTCAGGCTCTGTCATGACATGGGCTGCTTTCAGCATAGCCAACACATTTTCACCGACTTATGGTTCCTATTATCAGCTTTTCTTTCTCCCTGTCATACAATCATCTATCCCTTTGCCTGCCTGTCTTTCTCTCCATCTGAACTCTATCTCTGCCTATCTGCTCACTCCTTCCTTCCCACCACCAAGCCCTATCTTCAGCCTATATACCACCTTTCCTGGTTACTATCAGTTCCGAAAAAGAGTCACTGGACTGAAAATATTAAATTTGCTTTCTCTCCTGAGATGCCGCCAGACCTGCTAAGTTTCTTTAGCAATTTCTATTTTTGTTCCAGATTTCAAGCATCTGCAGTTCTTTGTTTTATTTTATGCAAAAAGAATAGTTGGCCTATTGTACCATTGCCAAAGCAGATCTAATTCATTCTTCCAAAAAAGAATTCAACTGTTGCTTGACAAAAATATTAAATATCAGGGGAACAGAAGTGTAGGATTAGATTAAAGAGCTATGGAGATGAATTGCAGTACAGATTTGATGACTGACTAGCCTGCTTCTGAGCTGAAACATATGATTTTTCATCACGGCCTAAAGCAAAATTACAATTTTTGCGTGTAAATAATCACATCCAATATGATTCTCACAAGAGGAATACAGTATACTTTGGTCAAAAGAGATCTTGCACAGACATTTGAGTTCCAGTTCTAATTTTTCTGAGTTGTTAATTCTTCCTTTCTTGAAAACTCTACAACATAAATTAGAATACCACTGGGATATATAGGCTTGAAGTTGGCTTTGATGACAAAATCAAGGTCTTCTCTCTCTATCGGTTGTCAATATTTTCCAAAATGCAATTCTGAGCCATCTTCATACAGTTCTTGATCAATATTAACCCTAGTATAAACTGACCATCTATCTCGGTGAAACCATATAGAGTCGTAAAGATGTACAGCACAGAAACAGATCCTTTGGTCCAATTTGTCCATGCCGACCAGATATCACAAATTAATCTAGTCCCATTTGCCAGCATTTGGCCCATATCCCACTAAACCCTTCCTATTCATATACCCATCCAGATACCCTTTAAATGTTGCAATTATACCAGCCTTCACCACTTCCTCTGGCAGCATATTCTACGCACCACCCTCTATGTGAAAAGGTTTCTCCTTAGGTCCCTTTTAAATCTTTCCCCTCTCACCTTCAACCTATGCTCTCTAGTTTTGGACACCCGCACCCTCGGAAAAAGACCCTTTTCTGTTTACACTATCCATGCCCCTCATAATTTTATAAACCTCTACAACGTCACCCCTCAGCCTCTGACACTCCAGGGAAAATGATGTTAGAAGTGGAAAGATCATTTAAGTAGAGCTCTTATGCAACAATATTGCTAGGGCAAAGTTACAGTATACCTCACCTGGAGCTGCTTGATAGCGACACAGTGAATGAAATGGGAAGGTGAAAGAATGGGAAAAGTTATACCATTTTATGCCTTAACTACATTTACTCAAATGTATGTATATTAAAAAAAAGCTCCTCATTTTATAAACTTTTCAAGATACTCCATTTGTTAAGTAAGCTGAGGTAAATATGATGACATGACTTACAATAGGATGACATAATCTTGATGAAAAATGCATCACTGTAACTCATAATGGAGTTTTGTTTTACTCAAAACAAATCACTCCAATGATATCTAAACACTGTGTGTATCCCTCTCAGTCAATAACAGCAAATACAATAGACCTAAACAGTCTGATTTCTATTTTGTGTTTTCTTTTGCTTTAGTATGTTAGAACATGGTTCAAATTCACATCTAGACAGAAGCTCATTATTGTAATATTTAATAATCCCTGTAAATTGTCTAATATTTCAAAACTGACTCCATACTGATGACAATTATGATTTAGATTGAGTTATTAATAGTTCTGATGAAAGATCATCAATTTAACATCTTTCTTTTAACTCTCCATAGAAACTGAATATTTTCAACATTTTTAATTTTATTTCAGTTTTCTGTTTTGTGCCATTTATTGCTTTTGTATGAATTCACATATTGTTTGAGCAGCAGTTTACAAGGAACAATGAAGAGCTCTGTAGCCTATTAATTGTCTGATAGAATGTGCTGTTCTACCATCTTCCACACCCTGATGTTGCATCCTCAGGTCAGTCATTTACACTAGGAATTGCCCTAAACCCTAACGGTTACCCAATTATATGCCCAACTCATATGCATCAATACTATGGCTTATAATCCCTAATCTTTGTCCTGATGATTTCTACAATCTTCCCCTGTTGCTGAATTTTAAAATTTCTACTTAAGGCTTAGACTTCTCGGATGTTATGGATGAATTACAGTGGCAGCTAATATCAAATCTTGCTGGTCTGTGGATTTTCATTTGTGATTTTTTTTAACTCCTTCCCACCACAAGCTGCTAGTTTGTCTCCCACATCCTACTGCATTCCCCTATCTTCCACCTCAACCCTCTAAGTTACCACAGCAACAAAATCTACTTGCCCACTGTTATTGATCAAACGCCTATGACAAATAAAACAAGTATTTGCCTCTCTATCAACACAATGCCCCAATTCAGCATCAAACACAGCCCCTTCAATTTTACTCATATCCTTTTTTTTATTTTTGACAGTCTTTGCAAAGATTAAGCCACTCACTTAAAAAAAATTTTGCACTTTTAACATTTAGAAGGATCATGTCACAGCTACTGCCAGTTCTCTACAGACTATATAGTTGTAGTAAGTAAGCCAAACAAGAGAGACAACACCCTATGACCTATACCAAAAATCATTAGCTTTTCGCATGGTCACTTAACCACTTACCCACCTATATAATTACTCACCCATCTATCTAGCTCAGTCAACTACCCACCGTACTCACTCATCCATTCACTCAGAAACCCGTTCACTCATTCATCATTCACCCATTCACTCATCCATTAATTAACGCTCAGACTCGACCTTTATATTTCAGATGGAACTAATGCAGTTAAAGGGGCTGCATCCTCTCTTGACACTATTCTGGTCTGACAGAACCCACAGATGGATGTTGTGCTGTGCATTTCTGTGAAAGCAAGAATCATGAAGACTTGGAAAACCCTAGAAGAAATGAAGAGCAGCGCCAAATCAGGAGAACTTAAGGAATAATGGAGTAAGTGGCTCTTTCCTCCTGTTAGAATACGTAAAATCTCCTACATGTTGTGAAATTCCAATCTCATGCCAAAATGCAACCATTAATCATGTTACCAACCGTTTGTGAGTATCATCTCTAGATGCCCATTGACATAGAACCGATAGTACATCTACCCTTCCAGCCGCAACTTCGGTAAATATTGATTCAGCCTTTCACTTTTGGGACTAATTATAATAGGTTCTCTTTATAGTATTGTCTGGCTCCTGTATGTTATATGGACCCTGCTGGTTTCAGAGTTATAACAAAGTAAGTTATATTAACAGTAATCCAAAATGGTTCTTCCACTTTACTGTCAAAATATATTGTATCAGTGAGTAATCAGAATGATAATCATAAGATGCTAGTCATTTAAATGACAAATGACTTTTAATTGCATTAAATAAACTACAGAATATGTTTTTAAATATGCTTTATTTTGGGCTATATTAGCAGCATCAGCTCCTGATGTACATGCATTGTGCAATCAGCACCTGACAGATTTACCAAGATTTTCTTATCCAGTGTAATGTCATAGAAGTAAAAAGAAGTGACAGGATACAGGAAGTACACATAAAATAGAATGGTTCATGACAGGCTGAATGGCCTCCACTTTTTTCACTTTTTTTTCCTTTTTTTTGCAACAGGTTTCAGACCCAAAGATCAAGCACTGTGAGGCAGGAGCCCTTCCAACCCAGCTCTGTCACTGTTATAAAGAATCTTATTCTCTGATTAGTGTCTGATAACATTTTCATGCCTTACGTTCATACAAAACAAATCAAATCATTAATTTGTTGGAATATACTTAGAGAAGTTTCAGTCAGTGGTATAATTTGTACTTCTCAGATTTCTTAGACAGAAAAACTTGCCTCATTTAAATTTAAAATGAATGCACATACATTTTAACTGGCTGCTCAGTAAAACAGAGCATCATTTTATAAATATGAAATCCTACAATAAATGACAAGTGAAATCATTGCTTTGTCTGTTAACTGAAGTTCAGCTCAGATAGATGGAGTGGTGTCCTTTTTTGTCAGCTAAAATAGGCTTAAGAAAATTGCTTAGATAATCTTTTCTTGTTTCTGATGGGCATTTGTACAAATAATTAATCATAATTCATCACATTGATTCTTTTCCTCATTGAACTTCAGATGATTTTGTGTTTATGCTGGGGCTCACAATAGCAGCACTCACATAAATTGCTGTCATCCTTGGCAGGGTTAATTGGAAGAATTGCACATTTCTGTAGTTTCAAATGGAAAGGAACTGTTGGTACTAGAGACATAGAGATGTGTTTTTATTGACAGTATAGTGATGGACTTGGGTCCCAGATGTGACTGCATCTGTCACATGCTGCAACATGTCACTGGTAGCTGCCAGTAGTGAAGACCAAAGTAAATCTGTGACTATAGATGTGATGAAATGAATCGCTTTTCACAGAGGATGGAATCTGATGGCAGGTGATCATAAAAGAAAGCCTAAGCAGCTTCCCTCATCTAATGCTGCTGCTCAAGTTGTACACCTGGTTCAGTTTCTATTCCCACATATCTGACCTTCTCATTGGATTCAGGCAGAAGGCACTTGATCTTTTTATCTCTATCCAGAAATCTCTGAAAGTCTTTACCGCTGATACTAAATGCTTATGCGCGTCTCAGCACTTCTTCTCCAGCATTTTCCCCTTCAATCAAGAAACATTGCAATACCTGTATTGAAGAAAATAATTTCAATATTCAATGTACTGAACACATTATTACAAATATACCTACCATATGATGTCCCATGTTCTCTAGTTAGCTGCGAGATAATGCATTTATGCATAATGTATGATGTATTTTATCTGTTCTTCCCATGCCAGCTCTTCATGAGATTGAACTAAGTAAAGCTGCCTCATCATTATCAGTTAGTGCTGCATTATCAGTAGTGTGCTGCTGTGCGCTTGAATCCAAGAGATTAAAATTGACAAAAACAAATATCACACACTTTCATCCTTACAACCACAGAGAAAGGAGAATGCATTCAATCACTTTCAGCAACATCTGAAAACAAGTCACAGAAACAAAAGGAGAGTTCAGTGAACCATCAGCTATAAAATTATCACCACAATCCAGCATTATCATTCAGGGCACATTAAGACTAGGAAATACTTAACACACAGGCAGCCCCCACCTCCCCCAACCCCCATCAGCATCTATTGCTTCCATGTTGACAACACCTGACTGCAGAACACTCTGAAGTAACACACTCCCTGCCATTTCAGTTCAAAATTATATACCATATGAGCGCTTTTCCATCAGAGCCAAACATAATATTCTATACTTCCCTGGCTTCTTAAATAGGTTGCTTTATCTACTTCTACTGCTAGAAGAAGAAACTGCGATAAAATGGTAATGATCACCACTAAATAAGCAGAGCACAATTCAAATTGAGCCATCGGGACTCAAAGCTCTCAGCTCTCATAAAGCCATCAACATTAAAACACATAACAAAGACAGTGTGCACTCCACTTTTATTACAGTTAGAAACAGCAATCCATAATTCTCTAAAAGTTGATAAAATAATTCACCAAATTAAAAGTTTGCTAATTCAGCTTAAACATTCTTTTTTCCCCGGAGAAATAAATATGTTGGGTGCATGGAGGTGGTGAGGAGCAGAAATAATATGGCAAGTTTGCCCTGGAGAGATAATCACCTCTTTCTTGTCACTTCAGCAATTAGTACTGAGTGAGACCATTCACTCATGGCTTGCCAGCAGTTAAGACCCTTAAATGGCTAATTACTGGCACCTTCCTGATTACCTGGAACAAAAACAAAGTTGCTGGAAAAGCTCAGCAGGTCTGGCAGCATCTGTGAAGGAAAAAACAGAGTTAACGTTTCGGGTCCGGTGAACATTAGCATTACTGAAACGGTCAGAGCCGAACAACACATAGCCAGCTCTCTTTATAGCTAGATGAAAATATGAGAAGATAATCACACTTTGGTCGCTGTCCTAAATTCAGAAGTGCAGTATGGATCTGGGAGTGGAAGACTTTTTACATAGGGAGATCACTAAATGTTTCTGTGGTCGCCCGCATCCTAAGATGCTGTATTCATTTTATTCTCATTTAAGGGACAAAAGCCAAAGTGAACTATTGTCTGAAGGCAGCAAGGATCAGTATTTAATAATAGGGATGAGGTAAGTGAGGGAATTCACTGTAGTGAGAGAGATAATGGTGCCTGCTCTTTTACATAAAAATGAACAGTTTGAGAGAATTAAAGATAGGGAGACCTGAGAGCTAAAGATTGGAGGCATTAAATATGTGAGAAGCTAAGTGTTTCTTTTTGTTCATTCTTTGGATTTTTTGTTTATTCATTCATGATATGTGGGCATTGCTGGCTGGCCAGTATTTTATGCCTGTCCCGATTGCTGTGGAGAAGGTGGTGAGATGCCTTTTTGAACTGCTGTAGTCTGAATGCTTTAGGATGACCCACGATGCCCTTGGGGAGGAAATTCCAGGATTTTGACCCAGTGACATTGAAGGAATGGTGACATATTTCCAAGTTAGAATGATGAGTGACTTGGAGGAGACCTTGCAGGTGGTGATATTCCCATGTATTTGCTGCCCTTATCCTTCTAGATGGAAATGGTCATTGAATTGGAAGATGCTATCTAAGGATCTTCGCTGCAGCATTCCTAACCTCTGACCTGGTCTTGTAGACACTGCTTTTATGTGGTGATTCCAGTTGAGTTTCTAGTCAATGGTCAAGGATGTTGATAGTTGGGGATTCAGTGATTGTAACTCCATTGAATGTCAAGGGACGGTGGTTAGATTGTCTCTTACTGGAGATGGTTATTGCCTGACATTCCTCTGTGCCAGATATGATTCCAACCAGCATTAACCAGCATCAATTGCCCATCCTGAGTTGCCCTTGAGAAAATGTTGGTGAGCTGCCTACTTGCTGTACCTGCATACTCTCTTTCTGTGATTCATGCACAAGGCCACCCAGACTGTACATTTATTGCAAATACCTATTCAGTCAACTGGAATTTGGCTGCTTCTGAACATACAAAAGGGAAGTAATGTGCTTGTAGCTATACCTATGATTATCGTTAAACATTTTTCAAAAATATTTTCTGAACGGGAAGGATGCCTCTCAAGGGATCACACTTCTTTTCCCACCTTTGTTACTTCTGCACGCATTTCTCATTGTAATTTAACTACAGTGATTTACCATAAGTAAACACCAGGGAGACAAGTTTATAAATCAGAAATTTTCATCCATTGAAGGGGAACTTTCCCAAATTTGACAAACTTTTCTTTCTAGCGTACAGCGCCTCGCCCCGCCCCCGCAATGAATATTGATGAGTAGAACGCGGGCCCTGGACCGTGGCACCGCCTCCACAGATGAATGACGTGCCTACATCACACACCAGGCTTTGTGACGTTGGGTTGAAGTATCTTCTGAGCGGCACTAGTACTCGCCGGGCGCGGTGGCGTGCGCCTGTAATCCGGCGACTCGGAGGCTAAGGCTATCGGATTGCTTGAGATCAGGAGTTCTGGGCTGCTGCGGACTATGCCGATCAGGTGTCCTCACTAAGTTGGGCATCGATATGGTGTCCCCGGAGGAATCCGGGATCACCAGGTCGGGTAAAGAGGGGTGAATCGGCCCAGGTCGGAAACGGAGCAGGTCAAAGCCCCCGTGCCCATCAGTAGTCGGATCGCGCCTGTGAATAGACGCTGCAGTGCAGCCTGGTTAACACAGTGAAACATAGTCTTTTCTCAAAACTGCTTTTGGCATTTTTCATAATTTAACTAAAATTATCATTATTACTACACTTCGGCTGCACTAAATGCTGGGCCTTATATTTAATTAATAGAAATGCATAAAAGGACCCTTAGACAAGTACACATCAAAGTCTAGGATTTAAACTCTGCTCCCATCTGTATTTTCATCAGCTCTGATAATACATTGAAACATAGCCTTTTCTCAAAATTACTTTTGACATTTCATTTTCTTATTAAAAATAAACATGCACTTCAACTGTAGATAAATACAGAACGTGCATACAGCATAAGTGTAAAAAGGCGGACAAGTATGCATTCGTCAAACTGTTGGATTTAAGCTCCCCCCATCCTTATCTTCATTATTAGCACGTTGCTCTGATATACTCCGATTATGATGCCAAATTGACTATCCCGAATGATCGTTATCATTTGCTGTCCCGTTTTATAAAGTTGTGTTTCTGTAGAAAATTATACACTTTCAGTTTGTGTTCAACCCCCTTTAAATGGCTCAGCATTACTGCTCTCTGCTGCTCACTCGTTTTATTACACTAGAAAAAGTAACCACTGGAGGCGTTTTACCCGTAATGAACACGAGGGAGTGCCAAGTTCAGGTGGCTACGCTGAAGTTAGCGAGATCCCTATTATTAAAACTACTTTTGACATTTGATCTGTTTTTTTTCATGAATTACTATATAATGCATTACTTTGTATATATACATTATCAGAAACTGAATGCTACAAGTCATTGTGATTCGCAGATATTTCCCCAAAAAGCTGCCGGTTTTCTTCAATCTTTACTATTATTGTCTGCCTCCACACGCTGCACCATAATAAAATCAAAATACTGCAGATCTTACTGTGTTGGAGAAAGTCAACATCTGTGGAGTGAGAAACAGAATTAACGTTTGGAGTCCAATTTTTTTCACTTTAAACCACTTGTGGTAACTCATCTCGTTATGTAAACATATTCCCTCTCCTCAATAGGTGATCCTTCCAGAGACAATATTTGGTAATCTCCTCCTTATCCTCTATTTGTTTCCACTGGTAGATGATCTTTTGCTCTTTACCCACAGTAAGATTTTTAGAGCTTAATTTCTGCAGCTGCCATCCCTGAATCTGCAGCAA